TTTTATCATCAAAAGTTAGTCTCTCTATCTCTTTCATTATTAAATATTAGTCTCTCTCTTAAATATCTCTCGGTTTTCTTCTTTATTTGGGCTGATGGCCACATCGCGTTGCAACATCGGTTCCCGTATTTCTTATCCCACCCCCACTGTGTTAATTAGTAAGACTTGTATCACTAAACCACTATTATCTCCAAAAATAGAATACAATTGCGTACAAAATATTTAGATTTCGACATTATCCCACAGAAGTTGATATGCCGCTAAACAAAATCAATCAACCGATCTCTTTAACAGTCTTCCATAATTAAATGTTCGTCTCTAACACTCTGTATTCTGTCTTGGCTGTAATTTTTCACTTATTAAATGTCCGTCTTTTTGTTTAACTTCTTTCTCTCATTATTGAATGCTAATCTCTCTTTTTTGTTCCATCTCTTTCATTATTAATTGAGATTTTCTCTCGTTATTAAATTCTCGTCTCTGTCTCATTCATATATATATATATATATATATATATATATATATATATATATATATATATATATATATATATTAGTGAAACTCGGTTCTTGAATGTCTCACTTGTCGAACAAATCGGTTTTCGAACAGAAAATTCTAGATGAAAATACCTCGGTTATCGAACAAAATTTCGGTTATCGAACAACATTGCCGAACCGTGTTAACCCGAACGGAATAATTTCTGAGTCGACCGCCATGTTGTATACATTCGTGTGTTGTGGCGTGCTTTTCTTTTCCAATTTTATTGTACTGTGACTTTTTTCTTTTCTCTACATTGATTCCTATAGGAAAAATAGTTTCGGGTTACGAACAACCTTGAGGAACGAATTAATTTCGTGAACCGAGGTTCCACTGTAACTCTTCTACCTTTACACTTTTCTGACTTCCATCAACATGGCTGATGCTAACCTCCAGGGGAGTGACTCGTTTTGCCATCTCGGATAACATTCTCGGCTAACATGAAGTGGAAAGACTATATTGAATCAAATGCTAGGTCTGCTGCTAAGATGTTAGTTCACTGTGTTGTGCTAGACAATTTTTCTGAATCTGACATATTTATAAGTCTAGCATTCGTCCATACTTTGAATATTGCTGCTTCATATAGTCTGGTGCACCTGCTGTGTATTTAGAGATTCTTGATAAAAAGTAGAAGAAGCAATATTATTGGTCCTGACATTTCGTCTTGAGTCACATCCCACCGCCGTAATTTCCCAGTGCGTTTACTATAAATACTTTCATGGCAATTGTCCGGGCGGACTCTTCGCTATGGTACATTTGTCGAATATACTATCCATTTAGAGATTCTTGATACAATCCAAAAAAGAATCACCAATATTATTGTGTCTAACCTAGTAGCTCGTCTTTATTCTCTTTCCCATTGCCGCTTATGAACTCTACTCTATGATTCTTAGGTTCTATGAGCGCAGTACTAGATTGGCGGCAAGGTTTCATCAATTTACAGTTGAATTGGTTCGATGTAATCGTAAGGCCTATGTTAACAGTTTATTTTCCCTCGTAGAACTCTCTTCTGGCCTTCTTTGATCTTCAAAAGTTTACTTGCAATGCCAGTTGCTATCTACTGTCTTCTTGATTATTCTTCTATGGTTCTCGCTCCTTAATAATATTCCTGTTTTTTTTTCTTATTCTTTCACACTCAGTAACCCCTAGTGTCAGTGGTTTTACTTCCTTGCATGGGGTGAAATGATTAAAAAAAGTACCAATTGTGACGTCGTCCCCCGGTCGCAGCGCCAACTGTGACGTTCTATCCTGCTCTACCACGGCGCCAGTTGTGACATCCTCAAACAGCACCACTTGTGACGTCTTCGCCGCGGCGCCAGCTGTTCGCTCCTCGCTGCTCCGTCCGGGTGTCGCTGCTCCAAACGTGACGTCCGCCTGTCGCGTCAGTCGTGTTGTCTCGTCCTGTGACGACCAACTGGCTTGGTATCGGTCGCGGCACCCAAATGTGACGTTCTAACCTTTTGGTGATTCGGGTGGAATCTGGTTAGATTTGATATCAGCCTCGTCGCTCCCAACTCGCTTCCAACGCCTGGTTACCAAGGTAACTGCATTGATCTCCAGTCTGCCTACCCACGTTGTGAATTGATCTTAGACAGACAAGATCAAACAGTGGTTGGGGCCGTAATGCAAATTGAGTTCAACAGGGTGATAACACACAAATATGCATAAAAGAAAATAAAATGAAAACTCAAAAAGTTCAAAGTATCAAAGAAAAAGGTAACAAACTTTATGTCTAGTTGTTCGATACATAGGACTGCATCTATCTCCCGACCCGTTCTGTGGATTGTGACACGTCGTTTTCGCTAGGCAAGTTTTAACGCTTCAAGTTGTTTGCTCTCTAAGAAATTTGTGTTTCGGTGTGTCTTTGGACGAAAGTCGAAAAAAACTTATTTCGGTTGTCTGGTCCTAAGTCGCTCTTCAAAATAATTGTTCTTGGTTGAAGAGGAGTCCGGAATTTTTTTGCGTGAATCTTGGTCAGCTATCTCGAGGCGGCTTCAACTCTGGAAACTGGAGCTCGAACTCTCTGGACACTCATCTCTGCCGCCAGGACCCGAACTGATTTCTGCCTGTTGGGGCCTGGCTTTTATTGACGCCGACCAAAACTGGGGTGGGTCTGTTGGCGTCCGGGGGTTCCTCGATAATTCTAAATACATATCCACCTCTTTTATTTCTGGTTAGGGATTTTCCACTCTTTTCCATTTTTGGGAACTTTTTCTCACTCCCACTTTCTCACCATACTTCTGAGGGGCGTGAACTGCCCTCCCCACTTCTTCGTAGCAGCTTCTCATACTTATACTCTGGATGGGGGCGTCGACAGCCTTCTTCGTGCGTCACGTGATCAGTCTCGGCCAATGAGGTCTTGGTCGGGTATCTTTCCTCCTCCTTCGTGCGTCACGTGATCACCACTTGACCAATGATGTCTTAGTCGGGCGTGAACAATCCGCGGCTTTGTTTCGGAAAAAAAATACCTTGCTTAACTAAAAAAAAAATATCTTTTCTTTTCCTTTTTTCTTCCTTAATCGCCGTATCATTTCTCTGGCCACCAACGGGAAAATATGAACAATGGGGTCATAATTCTTGTTCTACACGTGGCTTACGTCAGGTATTTTATCGCTAATTTGTCAAGATGGTTGGTATTCTTAACATGGCCTCAAAAAAGAATCATCCCCAAGTTTTCAGTCAGTCTGACGTCTCCAAGGAAGAAAGAAAAAACACCCTGGGTCCCCATTCATTTTCCTTCGGCACATATTCCTGATAACATAAATTTATTATCGCAGGCAAAAAGTTGTTTTGTCGAAAAGAATTTAGTTAGCGAGACTGCTTGTGGGGATTTTAATTTTTCATATCTAACTAAAGGCTCTGTATCTACACCTGTGTTTTGTCAATTATCAAAATTAACGTTTTCAAGTGGGCTTTCTTTGGCGAACATTTCTTGATAACACAATTCCATTCGCGCAGGCCAAGTAGGAAAATCGGTCAACGATTACTTTAGGTGGCCTTTTATTTTTCATATCTGTCCAAAGTCTTTTTTTTTAGTCGCCTGTTTCTTTTCGTCACTTATCGAAATAACATTTTCACTTGAATTTTTCCCTTGGCCGGTGGTCTGTGTTGATAATAAGATGCCTTCCCGTACCAATAGTTTGTTTTCATATCCTTAGATAACACTTCCCTACTCACTCAAATCTCATTGTCATTGTAATGACACTCTTTCGCCATTTGCCACTTATGAAAATAACCCTTTTTTTTATTGCCTCTTAGCCGTGTGTGTGTTCGCTTATCACCTATGATTCGGATCTCGCATTTCTTTCTGCCTTCTTTTCTTTCTCTTTCTTTCTCTGCCTCGTAAATAGTGCCACACAATTCTTCTCTTTTTATTTTTTTCTCTCTTTCCTTGTTAAAATATTAGTTTTCCTTTCTCTGTTTCTGTCATAGTTCAATTCTAGTCTTTCTTTTTCAATTTATTTTTAAATCTTATTAAATTCTCGTCTTAATCTTTACTTTTCTCTCTTTCATTATTAATTGGTAGTCTATTTCTCTATCTTTCTCTTTTTCAATATTGAAATGCAAGTCCGTTCCTTTCTCTCTGGTTTTCTCTCACTCTTTATTTTTACTCTCTTTTTCCTTTGTATTTTTCTCTCTCACGTTGTTTTTAGTAAATGCCTACATATTTTATATTTCGATATTTTTTGATAAATGCAAATTTCTGTCTGTAATTAAATCGACCATTTAAAAAAAAAATCAGAAATTACCTTTTAAGACCTTCAAATTAAATAAGGAAAAAAAATTAAAATATGAAAAAATTATAATAGAGACAAATATTTAAATATATATTTTTATTATCGGCTTATATTATAAAATTTATCTATTTATAACCGTTCATTTTCTTTTAACACTGTTGTAATTACTTAAATAGTTACTCATTTTCCATCTTTAAATTTTTAGTAAATTTTTAATTAATTGGTAACTATAAAAAAATCTATTCTCAATTAGTACGGTTAAACTAAAGAATGTTTTATCGCACTAATCGAGAATATAGGTTGATTTTCCAAGGGTAGCTTAAATGTGGCACAAGGCCGAAATTATGGGATGCCAAGTGAGGATCGAACTCCCTATTCAGTCGTAACTGAATTAGCGAAACAAGTTTGCTAACAATTACCCCATACCCCTAATCGAGTATTATGGAATTTTGGTGTTTTAGATAATCGAAAACGCATTAATAGAGGGATTCCTTTATTTCAATTTCCTTATTACAGGCTCGTCTATTTTTCAATTTTAAATACAAATCCCTGCTTTTCTCTTTTTTTATATTTCCTTCTCTTTTACTTTTTTCTCCTTCCTCTCTCTTTCTCTCTCTCTCTTCTTTTCGTTCCCTCTTTTCTTTTTTAATCTCTATTTTCTTTCTCTCATTTATTTAATCATCGGATGACGTTTCTTTGTTTTAAAAAAATCACTTTCCCGTTTTGGGGGCCGCATCAAGTTGAAACACCGGTTGCCGTACGATCTCTGAAGTTAAGCAAGGTTGAGTCTGGTCAGTATCTTGATGGGTGACTGCTTGGGAATACCAGGTGCTGTAAGCGATGTGCGTCTGATGTAAGGGATAATGGCTCAGAATTGTTAATCAGAGAGTCGAGTTCTAATTCCAGTTGGTTTCGTTATATTCACTTAAGCGCAAATAACCTTGGGAAAATTATGAATTCACCTCTTCTCCCCCAGCTATGGGTTAATTAGTAAGACTTGTATTAGCTCCAAAAAAAAAAAAAAAAAGAAACTAAAATTCTTATAATCTAAAAATATTTTCTGTCTTTAAATAAACTGCAAAGGGTTGATAAGCCGTAAAAATCTAATGAATCTTTTCTGTTTTTGACGTTAAAGCAAAAGGGTAGCTGGAAATTCCTCGCTCCAAGAAAGGATTTTAAAATTCTAATGTTTGGTTATTTGGTCAGATAGTGTGAAGTGGGGTGGGGCAAGGATTTTCCCGCACACCCTTGTCTTTTTAGGCAACTTGGGTATCGCGCATTTTACAAGGACGTTGACGAGTGCAATAAAAGTCGATTTAACAAAGGTAAATTAAGGAGAACTTCTTCTCTTTAAGTCCTGTGTCCTTTCAACACGTAGGCGTTCATGGCCCTCCATAGCTTTTTTTAACCTTAAATTCCTTAGCGTGCCACGGTTGTTCTTAGGAAAAATACAGAAGTGTTTCCCCCCGTTGCCTTCACTACAGTTAGGATTTGTAAGATGTCGGTCTCCGCGTCAAAGCTTGAAATCCCAGCCTGGATTCTATTTGAAGCATAGCTGGTAGGTGTTGGATCCATGATTTTTCAATTGACATGCTATGAATTGGGCAAACTAGTTGTCTTGGAAGCAAGTCGTCGAAAGTTGACCTTCATAGGGAATTCTAAGTCTGAGGTCCAATACGAGAAACAAAGTCGAGACCATTTCACAGCCATGTGTATGCATATATTTGCAGTTTCAATATTGCTGTGTTTCTAGTCGAGTTAAACTTGGAACAAGTTGGAACCCACGGTGAAAAATATGGTTTTTCATTTCCTCTCTAAGCACAATGGAATCGGTTTGGAGAACTCTTCTGTTAAGCATGTGTGAAAGTAATTTATAGTCTCTTTCGGTCAAACTCCTCAGTTAATGACGAGACCATCACCACCTCGTGACAATAGGCAGATGGCGAATGTTTCCGGGAGAAACCTCTCAATGAAATATCGAAAAAAAAAAAAAAAAAAAAGAAATGTGTGTGTGTAACAAGCCTTTTGTTTTCCGACAGCGGTGGCGAGCATGTTTTATGTGCAAGTCTCTGCTAGGCATGTTTAATTCCATTATTTATTGAGACAAGTATCCGAGTTGTTGCTATCTTACATCCGGCATATTTGCTGGTGCGTGGCTTGTTCTAACTGAAATAACGGTGAAATCTGTTAAAAGGAAAAAAGAAAAAAGCCAGATGAGGCATGCTACCTGAAATAGCCCGAAGAGAGCATCGACCAAAATAATCAAAATAATGATGAGGATAACAAATCGAATAATTTATATGATTAATGATATTAAATATTGGGAGTTCTAAAATTGAAGAAGCCAGGAGAATTTATCGACCGAAATAAAATAATCAAAACAACAATGATGAGGATACGAGTTTGAATGATCATATGTATAGTAATGGAATTATTTAATCTCAGGAGTTCTAAGATTGTAGAAACCTGGAGAGTACATCAACCAAAATAATCTAGATAACAATGATGAAGATAACAATTGGAATAATTCATAGGATTAATGATATTCAATATTGGGAATTCTGAAAATGAAGAAATCTAGAGAATGCGTCGACCAAAATCAGCAATGACGAGGAAACGAGTTCGAATAATGTTCGGATTAATGAAAAATATTTAATATTGGAATTCTAACAATGAAGAAATTCGGAGACTGCATCAACCATGATAATCAAAGTAACAACGATGAAGATAATATTTTGGAATAATTTATAGATCAATGAGAATATTTTATCTCGGGAATTCTAATGATAAAGAAGCCTGTAGAATGCGTCGATCGAAATGAAATAATCAAAACAAGACTGATGACAAAATTCATACATTAAAGACAATATTTCGTGTCACGAGTATTGATAAATGATGTAATAAAATCAACGATGTTGAATATGGCAACGTATTTATTCCTTTATGTTTCATTTGAAAGGATACAGAAGACGATTATCTCCCTTTGGTGGTGATGTCACATGCTTAGTGACGTCACTTCATACAGTGACGAAAATGGCCAGTCATTTAGTCAAGACACACGTGTTTGTTCGTTGTACCCGGGCTTTCATCCGGGACAGACAGCTACCAAATGCTACAGGTTACAAGTCCACAATACAGTTTCCCTTTGGGAATATATCTTCCTCAGATATAGAAAGAAACATCGATTCGAGGGCCTCAATTTGGGAAAATCAAGACTCGCCATTTTCTCTTCACGGAATATACCATTGTCTGGGACATAATAGATGAATCCGGCCCGTTTGAACCCGGAATCCTAAACATGGCTTCTTCAGAAGCAAGAAGGATCTCCAGATTATATATCAGACCCCACTCCTTTTCGTTTTTCCGTGTAGATATATTATTCTCTGCGTGGGACACGTGTATATGTATATATAGTTTTGTGCAAGTGGTATAAAAGTTTCTCTGAGAACAGATGCAGGTTTGTCATTTCTTTTCCTTTCAGCGATTCTGTTTCGTCCGTGAAGTACGATGCTATTATATCATGGATAAAATAATGCCCATAATAGGGGAAATGAAAATGGAAGAATAAATGTTTTGGTTTCCCTGTTGTAATAACCAGACATATCTAAGCAAATGGGTCGGTGGAAAACAAGTACGGCCGATGAAAGGAAGAATAAAAAGGGATGGTCTATTTGTTTGCGCCGTAGGCTGGAACAGCAATATTTGACAGTTACGAAACGCCAACCCCAAAAATTGCATCCGTGTAAGGACATCCGTAAGTTACAATTATCACACATTTGTTTTTGGAAGGAGACTTGAACAGCGCCGTGCATGTGTTGAATACTGTCCAACGCGTTCTGCTGCTATTCCTGCAACAAGAAAGCCAAGTGCCATCATTGATAGTGTTCACAAGCGACTACGCGGTCTTGTGGGTGATGAAGTATTTGCCACTTAAACATATTTCCCGCGGATGAAAGATTGCAAGCCTCTCGCTACTTTTAGCTATTTCCTTGGTAAATGTTCAGACGGGCTACATGCATTAATTCCACCAGTTCAGATCTTCACAGCTAAGATCTACCATGCCACGTACATGAGACGAATCACCCCCATCCCCTTAGCATTGCATATTATACACACACACACACACACACACACACACACACACACACACACACACACACACACACATATATATATATATATATGATAGGAGAGAATAATGAGATTTATAATTCAGAGTTCTTAGCATTTATTTTTATTTAAAAAAAAGTGCTCGATACAACAGTAGAGCATAATATTGCAAGGATAATATATTAAAAAAATAAAAAAAAAACAACAAAAAAAAAAAACAATTATTATACATCTCCAGTTAAGAGGAGAACGTATAGATTACAATTCCAACGTTCGTAACATTTAATTTAAAAGAGAGCTTAATACAAAGTAGAGCAATAGTCTTTATTTTAGAATATTACATCAAAACACATGACAAAATCAACCAATCGAAAATGACATATGTTAAATTTAAACTAAGAGAGGAAGCATAAATTAAGAAATTATATTTCATAAATGGGTCGTGACCTGTAGATTTGAAATCAATATCAGCAACAGACGTTAAACAGGATCGGATGTAAATAGACATATTGTTCATTTAGACAATGTCAATTTCTAAGAAAAATTAAGTCGTAATCTAACAAAATGCTTGACAAGTTATATGCTTTGTGAGTATCCTACATAAAAAAAAACATTTTTTTTGTTGATAAATAGCTTCTTTAAGAAACCAGCAAATAATTGAAACGTATAGAACTTGGCAAATTAATATGCAACTGTTGACTAAAGATTCTTTATATAATGTGTTAATAACAATAACCAATCAATGCAAAATGTCAAGATATCAACAGAATACCAATACATTCGTACAAGATGTTACTAAAACTACCAGGAGATTAATACAATATCATATATATTTAAATTAATCTTAACAACCGAAAGATAAGCCGTATATGGTGAAACACAGTTCAACCAAAATCTAAGAAAAAGCGTTGTCAAATCCCAAGTCTAACTGAATTGTAAGGTAAAATGTAGATTGTCTTTACAATTTGCCGTTAACACGGATCTTTGGCATTCTTATCAAATAACCTGATAATTTGCAATTTTTCACGTAAACACAGAAATCAGGTTTCGTATAATGTAGATTCTTATATTTCAAACTAGTTACAACACATTACATTGCATCAAAACATATGTTTGTTGTTAATATTTCTTTCGCTCACGTGGTACGACTTCATTGAACGGCATCACGAATTTACGACCTGTGTCTGCTATTCCGCTACCGTTATCGTCGCATAGCAACTTCTATGTAAACAGGATATCATCTTTGATTGTGAATATCTTTGTTGAAATGTCTATATAACCACTCTGATGATGGGTCATGTGAGCCGAAAGGTCAAGGAACAACATAATAAAAAATATTCAAATGTTGGACAGTTTGTCTTTATTTTCTCCTGAAATTAAAGAAACTATACGAAGCTTAGAACGGCTCATGATCAAACATAATAGACATTGGTTGTCTGTTATTTTTAACAACATATGTTTGTAAATATACATATATAAAACAATATGAAGAACGACAAAAGGAAAACTATTTTTTACCGACGAGCTAACAGAAAGGTAACCTATTGAAAATTCAAAGTGATGTATTTTCATGACTAATAAACAAAAAAAAAAAAAAAGAGTTGAATTTTTGAAATAATGTATTATTGATTATTGCAGTTTGAGAAATTAATTTACGTATTTATTTTAAATAATAGAAGGTTTCGATTTAACTGTTTTCTTTAAATTCTTTAATATTTTTATGGCCAT